CGTCCTTTGTTCCCCACTGGCTGGAACCGACTGGTCACAGCCCCCGGGGCCCTCTCTCCGCAGCCCATTGTCCTCCCGCTGGCCAGAACCGGCTGAACTGAGCGGGGTCACTTGGCCAGTGACCTGGGGGAAGTTCAGGGCCCCGGCCCCGTGATAAAACATCGGCTATAACATTGGCACTTCCCTCACAGGGAGCACCTCCATGTCACAACCCTGGAGGAGCAGGCCCCACCGCAGGAGCTTGGCATTAGCCCCTTCCGTTTGGTGCAGCCACATCAGGGGCGAATGCTCAGCGTACACAGGGAAGTGCCGCCCAAATAGATACGGCTGCAGCTTTTTAAGGGCCCGCACCATGGCCAGGCGTTCCTTCTCCATGGCCGCATAGTGCTGCTCCCGGGGCAGCAGCTTCTTGCTCAGGTACGCAATGGGGTGTCTCTCCCCTTTAGTATCAGTTTGCATCAGCACTGCACCCAGCCCCATGTCTGAGGCGTCGGTGAACACCAGGAAGGGTTTGTTAAAATCCGGGTCTACCAGCACCAGGCTTTGGATAAGTGTCTCCTTCAGCACACAGAGAGCCCTCTGGCACTGCTCAGTCCAGACCACCTTGTCCGGCTTTCTCTTCCTACAAAGCTCCATGAGGGGAGCTAAAGTGGGGCACAAACCTCCGGTAGTACCCTGCCATCCCAGTGAAAGCCTGGACCTGCTTCTTAGTCTGGGGAGTGGGCCAGCCCTTGTTTGCCTCCACTTTGGTCAGCTCCAGCTTCAGGTGGCCGTTCCCTGCCTTGTGGCCCAGGTAGGACACCTCTGCCATCCCCACCTTGCACTTTCCAGCTTTTATAGTCAGTCCTGTATCCTGCAGGTGACCCAGCCCCCTCTTCACCTGGGACACATGGTCCTCCCAGGTCTCGCTAAAGACACAGATATCATCAATGTACGCCAGAGCACAGTCCTCCATCCTCCTTAGTAACTGGTCCACCAGGCGCTGGAAGGTGGCAGGTGCCCCCTTGAGGCCAAAAGGCAGGACCAGGAACTCGAAGATCTCTATTGGGGTGGTGAAGGCAGACTTCGCCCTGGCCTCCAGGTCCAAAGGCACCTGCCAGTAGCCTTTGGTGAGATCCATGGTAGTGAGGTACCGGGTGCCCCCCAACTTATCTAGGATCTCATCGGTCCTAGGCATGGGGTAGGCATTGGACACAATGATAGCATTGAGCTTCCAATAGTCCACACAGAACCGGATCGACCCATCCTTCTTGGGGACCAGCACCACGGGAGAGGCCCAGGGGCTGGAGGATGGCTGCATCACCCCTAAAGCCAGCATGTCTCCAACCTCCCCTGTCAAGTTATGGGCTGTTTTCCCAGTGACCCTGAATGGGGAACAGCTGATGGGAGGGTTGGCTTCCGTCTCCACCCGGTGAACAGCCAGATTAGTGAGCCCAGGCCGGTTGGAGAACAGCTGCCAGTATGAATGCAGCACCTCTCTGATCTCAGCCTGCTGGGCAGGGGTTAGCTGGTCTGAGAGGGGAATTGATTCCAGCGAGGGGTCAGCCCCAGCCTCAGGGCGGAGTCCCACCAGGGATCCTCTCCCTTCTCCTCCCACTGCCCACACACAGCCAGCACCAAGTTCTCCCTGTCCCAGTTGACATGGCGCACCACTGGCTGTGTGCCTAGTTGGGCAGTTCCACGACATAGTTCACCTCGTCTACCTGTCTGATGACCTTGACCGTCCCAGGCAGCTTGCAGCTTGTTCCTCCTCACGGGGATGGGACGCATCACTTGGTCCCCAGTAGCACACGTGCTGAGCGGTTGTACCAGACCTTCTGCTTCCTCTGTGCCCTGACCAGGTTTCCCCTGGCCAAGCCCATGAGCTCTGCGAGCTTTTCCCGGAAGGTCAGGACATACTCCACCACTGACTCTCCATCGGGAGAGACCTTCTCCTCCCACTCATCCCTCATCAACTCCAGGGGTCCCCTCGCTCTCCTCCCACACAGCAACTCGAATGGGGAAAACCCTGTGGACTCCTGGGGCACGTCCCTGTATGCGAACAGCAGGTGGGTAAATACTTGTCCCAATCCTGCGGTTACTGGTCCATAAATGTTTTCAGCATCATATTTAGGGTCCCATTGAACCTCTCCACCAGCCCGTTGGACCGAGAGTGATACACCGAGGCCCAGGTGTGCCGGACCCCACACGTCTCCCACAAGCACTGGAGCAGGGCCAACATGTAGATGGACCCCTGCTCTGTAAGGACCTCCTTGGGGACCCCACTCTGCTGAAAATGGTCAGCGCCGTGTCTGCCAGGGTGTCTGCCTCGACCAAGGACAAGGCCACCGCCTCGGGGTAGCATGTAGCAAAATCCATCACCACCAGGATATATTTCTTCCCCGACCGGGTTGCCCTGCTGAGGGGCCCCACTATGTCCACAGCCACCTTCTGGAAAGGCTCCTCTATGATGGGCAAAGGTCTCAGGGGTGCTTTACACTTATCCCAGGCCTTCCCCCCCCCCCCCCAACCCCTGCTTCTGGCAGGGGTCACAGGACCTGCAATGCTGCTGGACGGCGTCAAAGACCCCGGGCCAGGAAAAGATCTGCAGCAGCCTCTGCCTGGTGCCAGATGCCCTGATGCCCTGAAAAGGGGATATCATGGGCCAAATACAACAGTCTGTGGCGGTACCTCTGGGGAACCACCAACTTTCTCCTGGCCTTCCAAGGTTCGGTTTGCCCCGAATCAGCCCATTTCCAGTACAGGAATCCCTTCTCCCACAGGAATCTCTCCTGGCGGTCCTCCCCCTGGGATCCTGCACCGCTGTGGCCAGCAAGGGCCCTCAGATTCTCCAAGGAGGGATCCTCCTGCAGCTCTGTCTGGAATTCAGCTGCTGGGTTTGATGATACAGCCCTGGATGGCAGTGCCTCAGTTTCCCCACCTTGGGACGGAGGCTCCGTCCCAGCCCTGTCAAGCCCTACCCTCGGTGCTTCAGTTCCCCCCTTCAGGAGGTCCCACGTCCCCCGCTGGCTCTGGCTCCGGGTAAGGACCAAGGCGCTCTGAGTGCCATCCGGCCAGTCCTCCAAGTCATTACCCATTAGCACCTCAGCAGGCAGGTGATCGTGCATCCCGACCTCTTTGGGTCCCTCCTTAGCCCCCCATTTCAGGTGTATCTTCACTACAGGTGGGTGTGGCCCCAGCCTTGGCCCCCTTACCCCTGTCCCAGTTCCCCTCCCCCCTCAGAGCCATGGCCCTGCTCCTGGGCCCAGCAGGGAGGGGGCCACGGAGAGAGGTAAGGGCCCTGGCTTTCAGCACCCCCGCTATTAAAAGTGTTCCAACACCACTGTGTGCCGGTATCTGGAGGTACGAGTGTGCACCAAAGCGTGCGTGTGCGTGCGTGCGTGTGCATCCGTGTTCGTGTGCGCGCGGGTGCGTCCATGCGTGCGTGTGCGTGCGTGCGTGTGCATCCGTGTTCGTGTGCGCGCGGGTGCGTCCATGCGTGCGTGTGCGTGCGTGCGTGTGCAGCCGTGTTCGTGTGCGCGCGGGTGCGTCCATGCGTGCGTGTGCGTGCGTGTGTGTGCATCCGTGTTCGTGTGCGCGCGGGTGCATCCATGCGTGCGTGCGTGTGCATCCGTGTTCGTGTGCGCGCGGGTGCGTCCATGCGTGCGTGTGCGTGCGTGCGTGTGCATCCGTGTTCGTGTGCGCGCGGGTGCGTCCATGCGTGCGTGTGCGTGCGTGCGTGTGCATCCGTGTTCGTGTGCGTGGGTGCGTCCATGCGTGCGTGTGCGTGCGTGCGTGTGCATCCGTGTTCGTGTGCGCGCGGGTGCGTCCATGCGTGCGTGTGCGTGCGTGCGTGTGCATCCGTGTTCGTGTGCGCGCGGGTGCGTCCATGCGTGCGTGTGCGTGCGTGCGTGTGCAGCCGTGTTCGTGTGCGCGCGGGTGCGTCCATGCGTGCGTGTGCGTGCGTGCGTGTGCATCCGTGTTCGTGTGCGCGCGGGTGCGTCCATGCGTGCGTGTGCGTGCGTGTGCATCCGTGTTCGTGTGCGCGCGGGTGCGTCCATGCGTGCGTGTGCGTGCGTGCGTGTGCATCCGTGTTCGTGTGCGCGCGGGTGCGTCCATGCGTGCGTGTGTGTGCGTGGACGTTGTCCATGCGTGTGGACGTGTGTAACACCTCCCAGTGCAGCCGGCGGCTCCTGCCCCTGATGTCTGGCAGGTACATTAACCCAGAGTCGCTCTGACCCGTGTCCTCTCTTCCCACAGCCCTGGATATCACCCTGTTATAAGAGGGGAGGGGCAGCATGGGGGACTCTGGTCCCCCACTTCGCTGGGATAGAGGGGCATTTAGAGTGCAGGGAGATCCTATCCCTTCCCCCACAAGCAGCCAGCTCCCCTCCCTCCTCCTCCTCCCCTGTTCATAGACACATGGCACCCCTAGGCCTCACAGCCACAGCACCCGCTTGCCCAGCGGGGACAGAGCACCTCCGTGGGGGCCTGGGCGATGGGCACACATTGCGGGCCACAGTGCCACAGAGCCTTCTACACCGGAGGGGGCCAAGTCCCTGAATGTCTGTCAGCCACCCCTGGGCATCCCCTATCCCCCCCCGGGAGACGGGCCCTGGGGGCTTCGTGACTGGGTGGGGAACAGCAGGGGGGAGATGAAACCTGGGACTCGGTGGGGACAGGGTCTGGGGTCTCAGTATCTGGGTGGGGGTAGTGGGGAAGAGATGGAATCTGGGGCAGCGGAGGGGATGGGCTCAGTGACCAGACAGGAGCAGCAGGGCGAGGAAAGCTAGAACCAGGGGTCCTGTTTGGGGAGGGGGACAGGGCCTGTGGGCTTAGTGACCAGGTGGTGGCTGTTGGGGGGGGACGGGACCTGGGGGCCCAGGGACCAGGCGGGGCAGTGGGAGGGACAGGACTTGGGGCCTCAGTGACCCGGTGGGAGCAGCACGGGGGGACAGGACCTGGGGATGTGGGGGGACAGGGGCTGGGGGATGCAATGACCAGGCAGGGGCAGAGGGAGAGTAACTCTGCACTGTGTTTATTGATCTTGGAAACAGCAGCCAAGGGGTGAATCCACAGAGATAATGTTCACTGGTGGGGGGGGAGAAAGGAGGACAGGTGAAGCAGACGCCCCAGGTCAGTCAGGGTGTGCAGCCCACACCCCATGCTCTGTCCCCCAGTGCCCACCGACCTCCCCCCCAGTCTCTGACCCACTCTCCGCTCCCCTATGCTAAAGCTGGGCGGGGTGCTGAGTCGCTGGCTGCAGGGCTCAAAGCACGATGCAGAAGAGCCGCTTTTCGCGGAAGGGGTTCTCCGAGGAGGGCACCGGGGTCACCAGCGGGTCCTCTTTGGCATGCGCCTCGCAATAAGCCAGCAAATCAGCCGCCGCCTTTGACACCTGCCACGGGGAGGAAAGGGTTAAACACGCCCACCGGTGCCCAGGGAGAGCCCCCTCTGCTGGCCATAGAGCCACTGGGCGATTTCCCAGCCAGCGCTCCCCCCACAGCCAGCTCCTGCCCCGCTCCCCACAGCGCCCCCTGCTGGGAGAGGCTGGGACTGGAGTAACTGGGAGCTCCCCTCACAGCCAGCTCCTGCCCCGCTCCCCACAGCGCCCCCTGCTGGGAGAGGCTGGGACTGGAATAGCCAGGAGCTGCCCCCACAGCCAGCTCCTGCCCCGCTCCCCACAGCGACCCCTGCTGGGAGAGGCCGGGACTGGAGTGCGGGAGCTCCCCCCACAGCCAGCTCCTGCCCCGCTCCCCACAGCGCCCCCTGCTGGGAGAGGCCGGGACTGGAGTAACCGGGAGCTCCCCTCACAGCCAGCACCCCTGCCCCGCTCCCCACAGTGCCCCCTTCTGGGAGAGGCTGGGACTGGAGTAATCGGGAGCTCCCCACGCATCCAGCTCCTGCCCCGCTCCCCACAACGCCCCCTGCTGGGAGTGGCCGGGACTGGAGTAACCGGGAGCTCCCCCCACAGCCAGCATGCAGCGAGGATGGCATTAGGGGTGGGGCTTCCACAGCTGTGGAGACTGTGGCACGGGGGCGGGGTTTGCACGCCCATGTGAGGAGGCGGCGGTGGAGGAGAGTCACACCTTCATGCGGTCAATGTTCACCTCCAGCTTGAGCTGCTCCACCGTCTTGCGGGCCTCGGCGATCTTGGCCATGTTGTTGGACATGGTTCCCCAGCCAGGCGCTTGCCCTGCAGGGAGCAGGCGGAGAGGGGCGAGCGGAGCTGGGAGAGTGAGGGGAAGGTGGGGGGGGGGGCAGAGAGAGCTGATGTAACTCGTCACGGGCTGCTGTCCCCATTGGGACACAACTCCCCGAGCCCCAGACCCACGCCTGCCCCTCGCACGCTCCCTGCTCCCTTGTCTATAGGGGGCGCCAGCTCTGCTCCAGCCCCAGGGCAGTGGGGACTGGCTGGCTCGGGGGGGCGGGCAATGGGATATGGGGCCCTTCCCCTCCAGGTGCTGGCTCAAGTACAAAGTCATCCCCGCTGAGTGGCTCATATGTGAGGCGTTGACGGGGGTCTCAGTCACAGACCACCCCCACGAGAGCGGAAAGGGTGGCAGAGGAGGAGATGCCGGGCCGAGGGCCCGTCCCTCTAGGGCAGGGCCACATTGGCAGGGGAGGAGCCTATGCAGGGGAAGGGACGGCTCAGTGGTTTGAGCATTGGCCTGCTAAACGCAGGGTTGTGAGTTCAATCCCTGAGGGGGCCATTTAGGGTTCTGGGGCAAAATTTGGGGAATTGGTCCTGCTTTGCACAGATGATCTCCTGAGGTTCCTTCCAACCCTGATATGTCTGTGGTGTGCATAGTATGTATATGTTTGCGTGCATGTGCAGGGGGTGGGGGGGTGTATATATACGTAGAGGCAGTCCTATCTGTTATTGGCCCGACATCTGTTGGTGGAAGATTCACGCTTTTGAGCTGCATGAGAGCTCCTCTTCCCGTCTGGGGAAGGAAGCAGAGTACACGTATGTGCATGCATGTATGTTTGCGTGTGCCTATGAGCTCACCCTGCCCCCCCCCCCGCAACCCTGAGCTCTCTGCTCCATCCATGCCTCCCCCCAGCACAGAGCTAAACTTTAAAGGCAGCTCAGTGGAGCTGCTGGGCCAGGAGGCAGTGGGGGGGGGGCAGATGAAGGGGGCTGGAGGCTGGCTGTGCTGGGGACCACGGGGAACCCACCGCCTCAGACTTGATCCAAGAAAGGGAAATTATCCACACTCCGGGAAAGAGGGGGAGGCGTATCGGGGGGCTGGCTAATTAGGGCCTTGCAGCAGCTTTCCCCCCCTACTCCAGCCCTGCCTGCAGGCGGTCCCTGATCAGCTATGCTCAAAGCAGCCGGCTAATTGCTCAGCCAGGTGCAGGGAAATGTCACCTGTTCCAGGGCTGGCACAGGGAAGGCCAGCGCTTAAGTGGCATAGCAGGGGGCACTGCATGGCTAGAAGCCTGGGGCAGGGCCTTTAAAGGGACAGTGCCTCTGCAGTCTTTACCCAACTGAGCTGTGCGGGGGCCAGGGGTGGAGGGAGGCCTGAAATACTGCGAATCTTGGAGGCTCTAGGTCGCGAGCCAGTCTGTAAAATCCCGTGAAGGTGGCTCCGGCAGGGAAGCTCCCACCAATCAGGGTTAGGAATATGGGGGTGACAGAGTCTCTGTCAGGAACGGGGGCCCACCAGAACCCCTCGAGGCAGAGGCAGTTGTTAAAATATTGGGGAAAGGGGTGACGGGGAAGTTAATAAAATGCAGAGAAGTTTTTCTGGGGGGATCGGTTAGAGTTTGGGGGCGATGGTTCAAGTCAAATCCGCTTGCTTTGTGCTGTTCTAAAGAGCACCCATTCCCCACCCCAAGCCAGTAACGCTGGGGGAGCTGGCTGGGCCTCTCATTTGCCCGGCTTCATGAGCCTGCAGGGTGTGTGCCGTTTGTAAGCGAGGAAGGCCACCTGCTCGTGAAACATCAGAGCTAAAGGTATATGTGTTGCTGGTGTGCACTGGCGTGTGGACGTGCATCCACGTGCAAGTTCGTGCCAGGGCGTGTGTTAATGCACGAATGCCTGCATGCTTATGTCTGAATGGGTGGGTGTGCCCGAGCGCAGGTTCTTACGGACATTTGTGCCTGTGCGGATGCAGGCATGGGAGTGCGTGAGTGTGCACATGGGAGTGCAAGGACTTGCACACGTATGTATGTGTGCAAGGGCATGTGAGGACAAGGGCTTATGGGCATGCATCTGCGTGGACAGGGCCATGGGGAGGGGATGAGTGTGCTAAAGTGTGCACATGAGAGTGCAAAGACTTGCACAGGTGTGTGCACGAGTGTGCGTGTGCATGGGGGGGGTTGCACATGGTGAGCGTGCATGGGTGGACACAAGCAGACACGTTCTCCCGCGGAGGAGGTGTCCCAAGCACCAGGCCCTCCCTAGCTTTGCAGCTGCTGCTGCGGGAGATGCTGGTCCCTGATCTCTGCTCTCAGCAGGTAAATAACAGAGGGGCTGGGCCTTGGCTGCTCTGTTTTTCAATTCCAGATCTGTCCCCCCATGCGGGGACCTGGAATCTGACCCCTATCAGTCGCTGGAGGCACAAATACCTCCTTCCTTCCAGATTTGCACATCCAGCTGGACTCATACCCTCTCTGGCAGGGTCACCAGCCACAGAGCTCCTGCCCGGGAAGCCAAGCCAATACATGGCACAGCTGGCTCTGCACTGCCATCTGTAGGGACTCTGGCATGTATGTGGTGGGGGGCAGAGATGGGGCAGGAAAGAGAGGGCTTGGGGGGTTATTACAAAGCAAATCTCCTGCATGCCTTGGACCAGCGTGGTGAGTTGAGGTCCAAGAGCCAGGTGGAATGCATGTCCCGCCCTGCCTCAGGAGAGTCCGGGCTTGGGTCTGGTTCTGGTGCTGACCCAAATGGATCAGAAGCTGCTGAGCCTGCAAAACCCATCTGGGAATCTCACTCCGTTTTAGGGCCTGCAGTATAGATCCGGACCTGCTTATAACTCACCTTCACCAGTGATTTGGTTTATTCAGCAGCAGCTCTTGGGAACAAAAGTGAGCTGGGGATAAAGAGTTTTCAGAACTTCTGAGGATAGATCTATTTATCTATCTATCCATCTATCTATCTAATCTATCCCCATACACTGCCTCTATCTAATCTAATCTATCTCCATTCACCCCCTCTATCTATCTATCTATCTATCTATCTATCTATCCCCATTCACCCATCTATCTATCTATCTATCTATCTATCTATCTCTCTATCTATCCCCATACACCCCCTCTGTCTATCTATCTATCTATCTATCCCCATTCACCCCCTCTATCTATCTATCCATCTATCTATCTAATCTATCCCCATATACCCCATCTATCTATCTATCTATCTATCTATCTATCTATCTATCTATCCCCATTCACCCCCTCTATCTATCTATCTATCTATCTATCTATCTATCTATCTATCTATCTACCTATCTATCTGTCTATCTACCTATCTATCCCCATACACCCCCTCTATCTATCTATCTATCTATCTATCCCCATTCACCCCCTCTATCTATCTATCCATCTATCTATCTAATCTATCCCCATACACCCCATCGATCTATCTATCTATCTATCTATCTATCTATCTATCTATCTATCTAATCTTCTTACATCAGTGCCCATCTCTGCTACATCTGGGCAAGATTGCTCGGTTCTAAGAATGAGATTTGGGCATGGAGGTTCATACTTTTCCCCCCCAGTCTGGCCCCTGTCACTGGAGGAGTGCAAGAGAATGAGTAGGTGTCACCAGAGGGAGGGGTGGTCTAGAGATTTGGTGAGGGACCTGGGCATCAGGATTCCTGGGTTCTAGCCCCAGCTCTGGGAGCAGAATGGAGTCTAGGGTCCAGAGCAGGGGGGCCTGGGAGCCAGAGCACCTGGTGCTAGTCCTGGCTTACTGGGGGACCCTGGGCAAACCCCTTTCTGCCCCTGAGCCCCCCTCTGTGAAACAGGGCTAGGGAGCCTGACCCCATGCTGGGAAGGAAGCAGTTAGTTTTGCTTGGCAAAGGCTCTGAGACCCTTGGAGCAGAGGACGGAGAGAGACCAGATGCCCCCTTAGCTGTGATTGCACCCCAGCCTGCCAGCTGCCCCCTGAGGGCAGGGAGACCAGTCCCCGCTGGCATTGCACGGAGCAGTCTGGGGCATGGGGGAGCTTTAGCTGCTCCCCGGCCGATGGGGATCATGGCTGTCGGATGCTCCGGGGCCAGCTGGGTCCCAGGAGTTCTTAGGGGACAGCGAGGTTCACTACAGCGAACAGGGAGCCTTCTAGCTCGGCACTAGCTGCCCAGGGGGGAGATCAGCACTCCCCATGTCAGAACCCCAGCCCAAGGCAGTTTAGGAAGGGGTGGGTCACTTTCGAGGGGACGCGGGGTGGAAGGGGATGGGGGCTGAGCCAGCTCCTACCTGTTGCCAAAGTGTCCGGGTCTCTCGCTCTCTCTGGATGGAGTGAGCAGCGTCAGCTCCCCACACAGCAGCCTCTGGTGTGAAGCATCTCTGAGTGTCACCTCCCCCTGCCCCCCCGGGGGCCGCTGGCTCAGCAGGGTGGCTCGCAGCAGCTGACAGAGTGGGGGGAGGCAGGGCCAGCACCGGAGCCCTGTGATCACACATGGAAGGACGGAGGTGAGCACGCTTGTGGCTGGACAGACGGGCAGACACGGCGGGATGGACACACAGACACATGCCAAGGAGCAAACAGATGCGCAGGCCCGTGGGCACACCCCCGTGGCCAGACAGATGCACAGACCCAAGGGCAAATGCCCTCCCCCAACCCCTTGATAGACAGAGACACGTGGGCACAGACAGACAGCCATGGGGCGCGCACACGGACAGACAGATGGACACGCGCACACGGAAGGGTGGATGGACACACACACACACACACAACACTCACAGTAGGTGCGTGCAGGAACCCCCCTCCACGGTCGGACTGACACAGACTGGTGCAACGGGACTGCCAGGCACGGAAGCCTTCGTGCTCACGCACACACACACACACACACACACACCCCGTGTGCACAAACGCACCCCAGCTCCGTGCTCACACATACTCAGTTCGCAGGGCCTGTTCTCTGCCGCTCGTGCCATCATGTGGCCCAGTGCCAAGGGACGCCACAGTCGGGCATGGAAGTGCCCTCCCACGCTGCCTTCCCCACTGACCCACAGAGAAGGAGGCCCCAGGATTCTGGGGGTGCCTTTCTCTCTGTCACTGGGGATTGGGCGTTCCCAGCCCCAGAGCAAGGGGTCCACACGTTCCCTGGAGGGAATGGCTGACGGGCTGCAGCCCAAGCTGGCTGTGTGTAAGTGGGTGGCTAATGGGCTGCCCGTATCCCCTTCACCCTCAGCAGGCCACAAGGCTCCAAGCCTTACCCAGACTCCTCTCGAGACATGGACCCTGGAAGGCTCCAGCCCCCAGGCAAAAGGGCACCCCGAGATTGAGGGGGAGCTACCCTGCAACTGCACTTGGACAAGACAATGGGGGAGCAACCAGACCTTTCCAGTCGCATTCCCTGTTACCCAGAATCCCCCAGGGCTCTGACCAGCCCCTGCGCCCCATTCCCAGTTACCAAGAATCCCCCAGGGCCCTGCTCAGCTCCTGCTCCCGATTTTCTGTTATGTGCAATGACTTTGCTTTGTCTCTCCCCGTCCCTGGGACCCCGAGTCCGGTCCTTTGCACTCTGTGCCGTCCTCCCCACATGCAGCACTGGCATTATCCACATGGGGGCACCGAAGGACAGGGGATCCGTACAGCGCTTGGGATCATGCCACCGACCCCAGAGCTGGCAGACAGTGGGGTGCATGGGGGAGGGTGCCAGGGTCTCTCCAGCTGAAGGTTTCCTCCTCCCGCCCTCCCGCCCCATGGAGCTCACACCTGGAGAGGGCATGGGGTCCACGCAGGGCAAGAGGGCCTTAGACATGGGTACAGGCCCTGCTGGGCTCGAGGACGGTGCTGCTCAGCCCCGGAAGCCCTGGGATCTTCAGCATGAGCCAGAAGCTGGCCGGGCTGCAGGGGCTGCCCTCGTGTCTCACGAGAGCGTGCCGCGTGGGCAGGACGGCGCCGCGGGGCCGGCGGTGCAATGGAGTACGGGTTGCAGGAGGGCGGGGGCTCAGAGCGCGTGTACCCGCGCGCGTCGGGCGGTGAACGTGGCACGCGCAATGCCGGTGAGGCGAGACAGGAGCGAATCTCCGGGGGAGGCGGGAGATCGCGGCACGGGCCGCGCATGGCCGTGCGGGGAAGCCGCGCCCCCGCAGAGGGCTCTGATCTGGCTGGGGCACATGCCCCTGTGCCCTGGTGTCACGGGGAGAGGCGGGCGCTCTCGGCTCTGAGCACCAGCCCCGCTGCAGCCTCCATGGCAGCCATAAGGGCCTCAAGGGGCTAAAATTAGCCCCAGCAGATCCCAGCAGGGCCTCACGGATTCCAGAGGGGCGGGGGGGATGATGGAGGGATAGAAAGAGAGGGGACGGGGAAAGGTGGGGGGGGAGAGAGAAAAGGAGGGGGCAAGGGGAAAGGGAGGAGGGGGAAGAGGTAGAGTGGGTGGGGGAGGGGAAAAGAGCACGCGAGCATGAGTGCTGGAATCAGCTGGCCCCACACTCGAGGTGGGGGAGACAAGGCCATTAAAGGAGCTGAACGGCAGGGAGGGGGTTGCTGGGGAGGGGGCAACAGAGAGAGACGTCTAGAATGAGGGCAAATGAGCTCCATGGGACCAGCCCGGTCCATGGACCAGCTCCCATGTCCACACACACACACACACACCCCTGCCCCACATCCACGTCCTCCTGGGATGGGATGGGGGAGTGGATTGCCTCCATCTAGCTCCTTTCCTGCTGAATCCTCCCCTGCAACCCCCCCTCTCCTCCCCAAATTACCAGCCGGAAGCTCCGAGTGCACCCCGCCCCCCAGAGAGCAGTGCCTCCCAGGTGTCCCGACACGTTGCAGCCACTCAGACCGGGACTCAGTATTTAATTATTTGTTCTTTTTACTGTTTTCGGTCCCCGGTTCCTGCCAACGAGGCTTTATGTGGCCTTTGGAGCGTCTTGGCTGCATCTCAGCCTGGGTGACACTGCCCTCCCTCTCCCCCATAGCCCGCCCTGGAGACGGGATTCTCCTGCACTTTCTGTCCCAAACAGTGTTTGGTTTTGCCATTAAAATGGCTGTCGCATCCCACCCCAGAGGTGGCTGCATTTCAGTGCCGAGGGAGGCATTGCTGTATAAACAGCTGCTGTGTTCCACCCCAGAGGCGGCTGCATCTCAGTGCTAGGGGAAGGATTTCTGTATAAACAATTGCTGCGTCCCACCCCAGAGTTGGCTGCATCTCAGTACCCGGCAAGGGGTACACCTGTGTGCCATATCCCAGTGGTGGCTGCAATTCAGCGCTGGGTGAGGTGTCCTTGTATAAACAGCTGCCGTGCCCCACCCCAGAAGCAGCTGCATGTCTACGCTGTGTGACGCGACTCCTCTCTGTTTTTGTTTAATAGCCGTCTTCTCCTAACACTTCCTAGCAGCAGCTGTGGTAAAATCCAAATCCTCCTCCTCCATCCAGCCCAGATCACTTGAAGCCGAAGGAAAATCCACACCGGCAGTGATGGGCCTTGACACGTACAGTGGCACATAGGCCTTGTGCTGTCTACACCGGGGGTTAGGCTGGCTACATCTCTCGGGGATGTGGATTCCAGTGCAGATCAACCCTAAGGAAGGGGATTCCAGGCACCGGTTCCTTGGTAAAGTCACTTCAGCCCCTCCGCACTTCCGGTGCCCTGCACCCTGGGACTGCCCAGCCGAGGATGCCCTGCCCCCCCTCCGGCGTTTGAACCCGGGGCCATCAGAGCTGCGGCTCTGTCCCTGGAGAGACAGGACCGGCTGGCTGAGCCGCCTCGGGAAGCCATGGAGCGGTCGCTAGAGGGTGGCGCCAATCCACGCTCTCCTGGCGTGAGTGGTGCCAATCCCCGCAGCTGGGAGCGGAGAGCGGTGGGTAATTGTCAGGTGCAGAACAGTGCATTGTGGGACGGGACCAGCTGCAGCCCATGCGGCTTCCTATCCCTGTATGCATGGCTTGGCCAAGACTGAACTAAAGGCCCCATCCCTGTGGCATGGACCCAATCTTGCCACCCCGCAGACACATTGTTGCAACATCTACCAGCTTAGTGTAGATGGGCCCTGCAGGGAGGCAGCTTTGCTTTTCCCCTCGAGTCCTCGGCCAGCCCTGGGAGTCCTTCGCACGGAGGGCTGGCGGGGAAGGAGCCGGCGGAAGGGTTAACATAATCCTCTCGTCCCTTCGCCCACTTCTCCAGAGGCAGGCTCTTGCAATATGGTCGCCATGGCGACGGCACCAGCCCGTTCTGATACCGGAAGAAGCGAGGGGTGGGAAAGCCGGGGTGTGGAATCGGTTCATTAAGATCTGGGTGATAGTGGAGGAGGAGGAATCGGGCACATTCCAGAGGGAAACGAGACAGAGAAAGGGCTCCTGCAAATTATCTCGCACGTTTCGACAGTGCCTGTCGCTCATGTCCTTTTAGGGAAATATTCACCCAGACCTGAGATGCAGCCACCTCTGGGGTGAGGTGCAGCAGCTGTTTATACACGGATCCTCCATCCAGCACTGAAATGCAGCTGCCTCTGGGGTGGGGGTGCAGCAGCTGTTTATACAAGGAACCTTCACCCAGTGCTTAAATGCAGTTTCCTCTGGCATGGGGTACAGGGACTCTTTCTACAGGGATTGTTCACCCAGCACTGAGATGCAGTCACCTCTGGGGAGGGGTGTGGCAGCTGTTTATACAGGGATCCTTTTCTTGGCACTGAGATGCAGCTGCTTCTGGAGTGAGCGTGACAGCTGTTCATACAAGAATTCTCTGCCCACCACTGAAATGCAGCTGCCTCTGGGGTGGGATGCATGGGCTCTCTTTACACAGGGAGTTTTTACCCAGCACTGAGATGCAGCCACCTCTGGAGTGGGCCTCAGCAGCTGTTTAAACAAGGAGTTTCCCCACCCAACCCCCCACCCAGTCCCCCAGACTTTCTCAGCAATGCTGATTTCTCATCTGTCAGCCTGGTCCTAGTCACTGCAGGGGGGAGCCAGAGTGGATTCAGCCAGGTGGGATCTAGAGAGACCCTCCCCCCTGCCTCCAGATTAGCATCCAGTTCAGGGCAGGCAGCCCACCCCAGTGTCCTACCCTAGCCTTCCCCTCTCCCCCCACCCATGGGTGAGTCTGAACCAAACTGGAACTCACGGGATGCCCCCAGGGCACAGGCATGAGGAGCCAGCCAGCTCCCAGCACTTGCCAATGCATCCCATCATTCCCACCTTGGCTACTCACGCCTGCCCTGTGCCCGGGCACCAGTGCATTGTGGGAAAATCCCGTCCATTTGCGTCTCCTCTGCCCAGGCTCTGGAGTGGCTTTCCCAGGGTGCACGGTTCCTGGGGGCATGGGGGAAGAGACGGGACCGGCCAGCTTAGAGTCGCCAGGTTGGAGGGTCTGATGGAACCACAGAGGGCCCAGCAGCCTCCATAGAAAACCCCCTTTAGATTACAGTCAGCTCAGTCCTGACTGCAAAAGGCAAGTGAGGCAGGGAAGGGAGTGGGGGTGGGATGTAGGGGAATGGTGCTAGGGCCCCCCCCCACAAAAAAATCTATGAATCACCTTCAGACCTCCCAGTAGCCCCTGTGATGGCCAGACACTGCGGAGGAGAATCTCGCTGCGCTGGGGTCCCTGGTTGGGTGCTGGCAGGGCACTGCTGTGGGGAAGCTCACAACACTGGAGCCTCCAGCTGGGTGCTGGCCAAGTTCGGGGCCCCTCTGCTGCAGAACTGGCCCACTGGCCCAGAATTCCTAGTCCCCTTGGCCCAAACCCAGCCCAGCCCTTTGTCCCCTTAGATTGGGTTGCTTTACCTCATCTCCCCAGCCTGGCTCACGGTCTCCAGGCCGGGCCAGTCTCCTGTTCACAGTGCGCGGCTGCCGTCTAATTACCCCCTGTGGCCCCAGACTCATTAATCAGCCCCATGATGCTGCCTTAATTAATTGCCTCCTCCCTATTGTAATATTGGCCAGTTGTTCCGTTCCAGAAAAGTTAGCCCCGTGACACCAAACCGATCAATTACCCCCACCCCAGGGTGCCAGGGGAACGAGGCCGTTCATCGCCCCCCATAGGGCACCAAGTGCCCAGTGAGCCAGCTGCCTCCTGCCACCATCCCGGCTTGTTAACCCTCCATTAGCAGGACCGTAGCTGCTCAGACTCAGCCCAATGGGCACCTATAAGGGGCCAGGATAGAACGACTGGCAGGGGGCCCAGCTTGGCTCATTGCCTGGGGGACGTGCCCGTCTGAGGGGGAGGCATCCCACTGTGGGTAAGGTAGTTTGTTAACCCTATGGTGCCTGAAGGCAGGAGCACAGCCGGCTTCAGCCGGCACTGCCCTGGAGAAGCTCACAGCACGGCAGCGATCAGAGTAGAAGCCAGTTCTCAGCAGTGGGCGATCCAGGCAGAGGGGATCCTTGTGAGGGGCGTGGGGGGGGGGGGTTGAGCTCCATTCTCAGGCCCCTCTGCCCTGGAAACAGCCCCTTCAGACTCTCCCCCGCCCCACACACAGGGGGCCTCTCTGCTCAGTGTAGAGCTGACTCCCAACCCCTGGCGTAGGGAGCAGATCGGGGGTGTGGCCGGAGCACATTGCGCTGTGGCTATTCACTGCCCCCCCCACCCCCCAAGACATAGAGGGTGCACCCCTGACCGGGAACTGGGAAGAGCCCTGAATGTGAGGAACACAAAGAGAGTTAACCCTTCCCTTCTCCCAAGCGTAGGGAGTTGGGACTCAGGCCAGCTGCCTGCCATCTCCATGTGCCAGGAGGGGTAGGAGCGAAGCAGGTGTGGGTGGACATGCCAGGGCCCCTTCCTGGGCCAGAGTAACCCCTTTCCCGGGGAAGCAGAGCTCAGCCCCGGTCCTGCAGTGATCCGGGGCTCGGGGGAGCGGGAGGAGGGGGAGGGGGCAGGAGAAATGCGGGAGTCTGGCAAGGCTCCGTCCCTGCCACCGCCTGCGAGGTATTTTTAGCGGCTCCGTGGGAAGGTGCTGCCTGACTCAGGCTTCATGTTCCCTACAGTTTAGCAGCTCTCCAGTTGGGCCTGGCTCCTGCTGTAAGGAATCTCGCAGCACCATGTTCCCCAGGTGGCACCGCCCGGAGGAAGCTCGCAGCACCACGCTCCCCAACCGGCACTGCCCGGAGGAAGCTCGCAGCACTGCAGCCTCGCCTAGTGCCAATGCCCCTTGGGAGGCAACTGGCGCTTTGCCAGCTCCAAGCTGTACTATCCAGCCCCACTGCCCTGATGTCGTCCCCTGCCCACCCCCGCCGGGACTCCCACCCCTGCTGCTGGGAGAACCCTGGAATGGCACAACAGGCCCCCAGGGACCCGCACACCCAGATCTGGGCCTCTGCCGGGACAAAGGTCCGGTGTGGCTGCAGGAGGGGTGGGTCCCCTCCTCCCCGCCCCGAAAAGGATCTGCTCTGGGGATTATTTCGTGCAGTTCTTTTGCCCCGCAGGGGGGTCAGATGAGCCGGTCGCAATGGACCCTTCCGGTCTTGGGATCCAGGCACCTGGCACCAAGGAATGGGGCACCTGCCCACACACCCAGATCTGGTACTTCCCCCCCCCCCGTCCCGGGGCTGGCGAAGTGGCCCCATACCCGCTGGGAGTTGGGGGAGGCGATCGTGGGTCCCACAGGCCTGTCTCACCTCCCCCCGCCCCAGCCTGAAATGCGCACAGTCCCAGCGGCTGGTGGGTTTGGCTCGGGGCAGGCCATGAAAGGGGGCCACTGTCTCACATCTGGCAGGCATTAGACTTCAGTCAGCCAGAGCCGCCAGCCCCCTCCCCACGTCCCCCCTCCGCCACAGCCTGCCCCTCCCCAGGTCCCAGCGCACCCCCCACAACTCCCCCACTGCCCAGCAGAGCCCAGCCCCTCACCAGAGCCCAACCCACCCTTCCCCACAGCCCAGGCTCCCTGCCCTGCCAGATCCCAGCTCTGCCCCCCCACCCACCCAGCAAAGCCGAGCCCCCCCCAACATCCCCCTCCTACACACCAGCCCCCTCCCACAGCCCAGCCCCCCACTCCCGCCAGAGCCAACCACTGCAAACACCCCCCCCCCGGCCCTTGGGGGAGCCCAACATATTCACATCCTGCCCCACAATAGCCCATTCCCCACCCCACAACCTCCAACCCTCCCCTCCATAACAGCCCTCCTCACCCCACCCACTCCGCCTCTGCTTGGGTTTTAGTGTGATTTGCAGATGGTACAAATTAAAGGGTGTGGTCCCACCCCCCCCTCATTCCCTGGACCAATCCCCCCCGTTTCTACCCCAGGCTCCCCTAATGGGAGGCAGCCAGATGCTCCCTGCTTTTCTCCCCTCCCCCATGCAAGGAGATGGAGCACGCAGGGAGGGGGCAGGCAGAACCTGGCCTGCAGCACCGGTGTGAATGCGGGGAGGTAAAACCTTCTGCCCCAGCGAGTGGGGGTGTCCCATTCCCACTCAGAGAGAGAGGCACGGGGGGGTGAACCCCTCATTTGTATCATGCACAAGGCAGGGTGGGAGGGAGGTGAACCCCACATTTGTATCATGCACAAGGCAGGGTGGGAAAGGGAAGACACTTGGTAGCTCAGGTTTGGGGGTGCAGGGGCAGAGGGGCTCAGTGGCTCAGGTTTGGGGGTACAGAGCGCAGCAACTTAGGCTTGGGATATGGGGGCGAGGGGTGCAGAGCACTGCCACTCAGGTTTGGGGGGACAAGGGGGCATGGGACTTAGCAGGCCAGATTTGGAGGTGCAGAGAGCACAACAGCACAGGTGTCGGGGTGCAGGAGCAGGAGAAAAAGCACAACACCGCAGTGAGGGTGCAGAGAGCGTGGAAGCTCAGATTTTGGAGCGGGGAGACAGCAGCCTAGGCTGGGGGAGCAGAGACAATCTGCATAGGCGAGGTGGAGGGGGGCAGGGAGCAGAACTGGCTCCACACTTTGGCTTCCAAGCAGGGCTCGAGGAGGAGAATGTGCATGTTGTCCACAGCTCGTAATAATTCAGCTGAGCAAGGGCCGGGGGGAGGGGAGGGGGCCAAGCGCCGGCGTTCGTGGGGCTGAGGGAAAGAATTTGGAAGGCAGGAACGTTTTCCTGGCTGCTTCACACATCTGGTTTTCATAAGGGGCTCTGGGCGAAGCGTTTTTAACAGGGACTGCCTGGAGCTCAAAGCAGCCCATGGACATGGCTGCAGCCTGGAATCTCCCTCCAAATTCTCTATTGGTGTCAGGGGTGGGATGATGCCAGCATGCTGCCATGGAGGGATTGACCCACGCCAGGCACGGGGAGGTGGATGAAATGCCAGGGGCATTGGTGTGGGGATGCTAAAGCCGACCAAGCCTGAGGTTTGTGGCCTGCTTTCCCCAGCCACACCAGGGTATCTAGCTACTTGTTTGCATACTCACGGACATACACTGTATGCAATGAGGGGCCCCGATCTCGGTCACTGCATGTCTGGGCAGCGCCCGGCCCGACGGGGGCCCTGATCTCGGTCACTGCGTGTCTGGGCAGCGCCTGGCCCGACGGGGCCCCGATCTCAATTGGGGTTTTCTGTGTGTTACCATATTAACAAATATGGCTCAGCAACCCGCCCCCTTAACTTTGTGGGTGCTTCAATCCCTGCCCCGCCCCACCCCGCCAGTAAAGCGGCACTTCCACAAATAACAGATTTTTATTTACAAAAACGGGGTGACAGGGAGGGGGAAATTATATATAGAAATACAAGACTGGCAGGGGGGTTTGCCACAGACTCCAGGGAGGTACCTATGTACAGCGCGGACTCCAGAGGAGTTACGATACAAAATCAGAATAATAAATACGTTCATTTAAACAGCATGCGACACAGTGAACGTCGCGCCATGGAAGTGCTGGCCCAGCCGGGGGGCAGGGGTCTGCGGCAGGGGACTAACACAAGCTGGGCTCCTGTTGGCAAGTTAATTATCTGTGTAGCGGGCACGGGTGTCTATTTCAGGGTAGCGCTCAGGAACAGGCTGGATCTCCTTAGTAACCGGCCCTGGCAGAGAGATGAAACCCACATAACCGGGGAGGGGGATTTTAACTGCTGCTGTGATGGGGCCGGATGGAGACCCTTGGAGAGGGATCCTTCCCGGTCTAGCCCCAGAGTGGGCACAACCCCGGGCAGGGGGAACTCACCCCTGCACCCCAAATGCTACCCTGAGCCAGTCTCAGCCCTGCCCGGGAGGGACCCCTGTCACGGGGGGTGGGGGTGGGGGAGGGGGTGAGCACCGCCCAGGCTCATGGTGTCTCCCACTGTGAGCAGAGACCCAACAAATTGATTGCAGACGGGGAGAGGGGGCCACGTTACCCAGCTGGGCTGGACTGGAACTGAGGAGCTGGAGGGAAAAGGCCCCTGTATCTCATGCCCCTGGGACCACAATGCTGTCCCGCCCCCACCACGCTCATCAGGGGCTCCTAGAGTATCTGATGAGCTGCTGCGGTGGGAGCATGTGTGCGCGGGGGGGCGGGAGGTAGCCAGAGTCCGTGCCCCCAGGCATAGACTCCCAAAGGGAGAGGATGGGAGTGCCACCACCCTGAGATCTCTGCACCCTTAATCCGGCACGCCGAAGCCCTGGGGCACGATCCACGGGTGCAAGGAAAGACACAGGCCCATCCTAACCCAGAAGCTGCCGTTAGCCTGGTTGGGCCCAGATCTCAGCAGTCCACAAAATCTGCAAGGCGATGAACCGGCTCGGTGCCAGCCGCCAGGGTGTTGGCACGCGCTCACTAGTGCCCACAGCGTCACCATTAACGGACCCGAAGAGCTCATCCATTCAGGCACGATCGCATCAGCATCACAACCGCCTCACCAGCGCCCCAAACGCAGCTCACCCCCCCCCATGCAGGGGGCGTCACCCCCAGGGCCCATGGTTGCACCAGTGCCCCACTTTCACCGTTCGTGTCTCCGAGGCCGCTCGGCACCAGGGTTTCCCCAGTGCCAAGCGAGGGTCTCGCATGCAGCTCACTTGGGAGGCGTCATGCACCAGGAAGCGAGCGCTCACGCACAATGGTGAAGGGAAGCCAGGGCAGACTGCAGCTCCCCCACCCAATTCCCTCCCCAATTAATTTTAGTACCTGCTCCCCAGCCGCAATGTAACCCACTGACCCCCAGCAGCCAGTGCCCCCTGCCCCGTCATGGCATCCCCCTGGCCTTGCAGACTGGTGGGGGGCAGGGGGGCATCTTGCACCTCTGCTAAAAATTAAACCTGGGGGCTTGAACCTACCAGCTTCTGGCCTGAGGTTTGCATCAGGGGGCCGGGCAGGGAAGGGTTTGGGGAGGAGGATCTGGTAGTACGGCAAAGGGGGAAGAGACAGGGTTGCCACGCCTCCAGGATTGTCCTGGACTCTCCAGGAATTAAAGATGAATTTTTAATTAAAGATGATGTCATGTGATTAAACCTCCAAGAATAGGTCTAACCAAAATTGGCAACCCTGGGAGGAGAACTGGACCAGTGGGAAAGGAGATCAGAGGGGTCCCAAAGCTGGGAGGGATGGAGGGATGACATGCCCCTCCCAAGGTAAGTAGGAGTGGGGGGTGTGAGGTGAGGGGGCCCGCCAGGCTGGGGGTGCATGGATCCAGGGTGGGTCAGGGGGTCGAGGGGAATCCCCAGGCTAAGGCAGGTCAGGGTGTAGATCAGGCTGGGGTTTAGGTCAAGCGACATTCCCAGGCTGGGGGTGGGGGTGGGCTGGATTACCCTGGAGGGCTTGGATCAGGTTGGGAAAGGGACACTCCCAGATTGGGAAGGTAGATGGGGGGGTGAGAGTCAAGCCCCCCACAAAAGGCCAGGGTGTATGGAGTGCGGTGGATCAAGCTGGAGGGGGTATGGGTCAGGGAATACTCCCAAGCGAGGGGAGTATGGGGCAGGGTTTGTTGGGGCCACCACCAGGCAGGGGACATAGACCGGGAATGGGTTAGGCTGCCCCAGGCCAGGGCAGTATGGGGCAGAGTTGGTTGGGGGGGTGGAGGAGGCTGGAGAGGGGGTGGGTCAGGGGCACCCCCAGGCTGCAGGGGGTGACGAGGGGGATTAGACCCCCCCCCCCCTCCAAGCCCAGGATCTCACACCGTCGTCATCACTTTCAGGGAACCCGAGCGGAAGCGCATAATTTTCTTCTTGAGGGCGTGGGAGGCCTTGATCTTGACGAAAACCTTGGGCCGCCCACCGGCCTGGCCGGGCCCCGCGCTGGCGACCAGCTGCGGCGAAAGCTGCTGGGGCCAGACCAGCCCGCTGCTCTCGTCCGTGTCGCTGGAGCCGGTGCTGAAGGCGGGCGAGCCGCCCTCGCTCAGGCTGGACTCGCTGTCGCCGTAGGCCAGCCCCTCCTCCAGCCGGCACACGGGCGCCCGCCGCGCCCCGCCGCCCCGCCCGCCCGAGCACTCCGAGTCGCTCCCGGCGTAACCGTACAGCACATTGCGGGGGGGCGAGGGGGCGCCCGGCCCGCTCCGCCCCGCCCTCCGGCTCCGCCGCGGCTCCCCGGCGCCCGCCTCCTCCTGGCAGATCTCTGCCGTCGAGCGCCACTTCCGGTAGCCGGCGGCGCCGGGGTGGGGGCGACGCTGCCGGGACGGCTTGAGCACCACCTCGTCCCGCTCCACCGTGTGGTACTTGGTGCCCGAGGCGCCCGGCTTGTTCAGGAGGCTGTTCTCCGACTGAGAGCGCGCCGCCTTCTTGCCCCGGGGGGAGCCTTTCCTGGCGCTAGCCCGGCGCCCCCCTGGTGCTTCCCCCCCTTCCTCGGTGAAGCGGCACTTCTTGGGCATCGCCGCTGCCCGAGGTCTCTCCCTGGGCGTCACCGGGGCCCGCTCTGGTGACAGCTCCACCGAGCGCCCCTTGGTGAGGGGAGGGGGCTTCTTTTTGGCGCCTCGGTGGGCCTGCTGGGCGCGGGGCGGCTGCTGGGCCGGGATGTACTGGGCCTTCACCATCTGGCAGGCCCCGTCCTCGGTGCAGGCCAGCGGGGGGCGGCCCCCCCTCTCCTCATAGGGAGCGGGTTCCTGGCCGTTCCTGGCATGGGCACCGTCCTCGCCCGGCCCCTCCTCGTAGTGATCCACCGACAGGGCAGGCCGGAGGTGGGCGAGTGCCTGCAGCTTGGGGGGCTTCTTGAGGCTGGAGTGCGGCGGGGCATAGCCTTCGGGGGCCCCCTTGCCGGCCAGCGTCCTCTCGGCCGCGGCGTCCCAAGACGACCAGATCCGGGCGGCCACGCCGGCCCCGCCCTCGTAGCCGCAGGGCGAGGGGGTGCTGCTGCCCCGCTCCATGGCTGGGGGGTGCTTGCGCTCCGCCTGGGGGGCCAGCAGCTCTGAGGGCCTCTTGCAGAGGCTGTTCTGGCGGGCCACTGCCTTGGCGGGCGGCTCGGCGTTGAGGCTAGTCCGGGGCTTGCCACCCCGCGCCAGCTGGCTGCGTCGGCGGATCAGCCGCGAGATGTAGCTCTCCACCTTGTGGCAGTGAGCGGCCTCGGGATAACAGGGCATCTCCTGCCCCCCGAACTCCTCCAGCCCCCCAGCCTGCTCCGCCCCATAGGCCAGGCCCGGTGAGAAGGGGGTGGCATCATAGAGGCGCCCGCGGAGCAGTGGGTTCTGCATGGCCACAGCGTGAAGGGGACTGGGGTACAGGAAGGGGTCCAGGCTGTCCCGGGGCGGGAGGCGCGGGGGCGGCTCGGAGGGGTAGTCCTGACAGCTGGAGTAGGGGGCCGAGTAGGAGCGGGGAACCATGCCCCGCCCGGCCCCGTCTTTGCCACTGCTGCCCATCTCGCCTGCGGGAGAGAGATACGGACTGAGAGACAGACCCACAAAGGGCGGCTCCAGCTGGAGGGGGGCAGTGCTCAGGCCCCCTTCGCTCCCATAGGGACGAAGGCAACCCCAGAGACAGGCCTGCCCCTTTCACCACCCCCCAACTCTCTTCAGCCATGGCCAGACGGTCCTTGACAGCCCGTCCGGCCCGGTATCCCCCAGGACCCGACCACCGGCCCCGTCCGGCCCGGTATCCCCCAGGACCGGACCCACGGCTCCGTCCGGCCCGGTATCCCTCCCTCTGCCCACCAGATCAGCCAGGCGACCCCCAGCCCCACGCTGGTCTCTCAGGAGCCGGGCAGCCGCTCACCCACGGACTTGGGGCGCTCGCTGGCGTAGCTGCCACGTGACTCGGCCTGGCCGATGCGGGAGCAGGAGCCGGAGATGGAGGGGAAGCCGGAAGAGTCCCCGAAGCAGGAGGCCGGCGAGTCTGAGGCCACGGCGGAAGAGGCACCCTCGTAGAAACCTGCAAGAGATGGCAGCTGTGAGCTGGGGGGCAGCTGGGACAGATTTGTGGGACAGCCACCAATTGAGAGGGGGGCAGGGATGGGGGATAGGAAGAGGCAGCCCTGAGCTGGGGGGCAGAGATGGACGTGGAGGGGGGCAGCCGTCAGCTGGGGGTAGGGGAAGAGGCAACCATCAGCTGGGGGGCAGGGAAGGGGGAGGCAGGTGACAGAGACTGTTGGGGGGGATGGGAGCAGCCCACGGGGCACCAGCCGGCCCGTTCCCTGGGCAGGTCTCAGCTTGGAATCTGGGGTGTGAGAAGCAGTTTTGGGGTCCCACTTCCCTGCAGAGATAACCGGGGGTGAGAATCAGCTGCATCTTTCCCCCAGTCTGAGACACACACCCCCATATCACACCACCGGGGTTCCTACCCGAGCTGGGCCAGCTGTCCATCTCGGCCGCCTCCCCGCAGGCCTTTTCGGGGTGCAGCCGCAGCCCCCCCACTTGCTGCTCCAGTTCCCACATCAGCCCGGGCAGCGCATCCTGGAAAGGAAACCGAGAGGGGCAGGACGTTAGTGAGGGATTGATACTCCAGCAACAGGGGCCTTCCAAGCCTCCCCATTTGGGGGGGTTGAACTACCCCCCCCAACAGTGCCCCCCACCCAGAAGCCACTGCTGCACATCACCCCCTCAGCCCCCTCCCAAAAATCAAGGCTCAAACCCCATCAGTGGTAGATAGTTGGGGGGGGGTCAGCTAGCCCCTAAGTGCACCCCTCATGTTTACATTCAGTTGAACTTTGCACCCCGAGGGGGGTATCATGGTGGGAGGGGGATGTGCTGCAGACAGCCCACATGGGGGGTGGGGTAGGGTCTGCTGGGTGACCTCTGACCTCCAGACAGATGGGTGGGGGGAGACAATGAGACCCATTTGGGGCTGTCGCTCAAACTCTGCTGGAGACAAAAGAGGGGGGGGGGGAACGTCCTCACCCCGGGGAAGGGGGGGAGCTGACAGCTCCAGGGCTGGAGGGGGAGGGGAAACAGCCACCACCTGTCCCACTGCATTGGGATACCCCAACCCCAACCCCCACCCCCACATCTGGGGTGCGCAGCCGCCCAGGGAAACAAGGCCCAAGGAGCCCGGAGATGGGCCCCAGGCTCTTTGGAATCTGTGCTGGCCTCTACCCTGCCCCTATAAGGTCAGGAAAGCAGGAGGCAGCCAGATCCCAAAGCTCCCGGGCCCAATGGAGGTGGGGGGAAGCTTCCTGAACTCCAAGGAGCCGGGGTGGGCACAAGGGTGGGGGGTGTTCTGACGGGGCCAGAGCCAGTCAGGATGCGGGGGCAAAACAAGAGAAGGAGAGGAAGAGAAAGGAGGAAAAGAAGGAGAGAAAAGAGGGAAAATGAGAGGAGAAAAAGGAGGAGAGAGAACAAGGGAAGGAGAAAAAGAAGAGAAGAGAGTGAGGAAAAACAAGGAGAGAGAAGGAGAAGAGGGAACAAAGGAGAGAAGAGAACAAAAGGGGGGAAAGAATGAGAAGAGTAAAGGAGAGACGATGTCATGAAAAACACCTTTATTCACATCAAATTTCATTAAAACTTTTTTAAAATGTTCTAAAATACTGAGACAGGGATAAAACAAAGCACAACACACCCGGCGGACATTAAACTTGAATCCCTAAAGCATCAGCACCCCCAAGTTCACGCAAACTCTTAACACCCCAAGTCAACCGAACAGCGTCCTGGCTATAAGTCAGTTCGTAAAAGGTGTAATCAGTCTGCTGCCCGTCGGTTCCGGTGAGATTTCTAACCGGCTCTCCTGCGCCAGGAGAGAAGAGTGAGAGAGAAGGAAAAGACAGGGGAGGAGAAAAAGAACAGGACGGACGAAATCGAACAAGAGGGAGGGAGAGGGAAAAGGAGAGGTGTGTTGGGACGGACGGACAGATGGGGTTACGTGGGGATAGACAGACAGAAAACACAACAGGAAGAAAAAAGGAGAGAAACAAACGAGAGAAGGAACGAGAAGGGAGAAGCAGAGAAAGGAAAAATCTCCTCCACCCCTCCAACATAGACCCCGTTTCCTTGCCATCCCAATGGGGAGGGGAGAGCTCCCCAGCCCTGCATTGGGGACACGTACACACACAGGCCTCCCCCGGCGCATCCCCGCTATCTCTGCTTCACACCTGGATGCCTTCCCCTCTGCCTGGCTCAGAGATTGGGGCGGGGGGTGGGTTCATTTATCACGGCTCCTGGGGAAATTCCTACTACAATGGCAACGTCGATGAATACATTACAGTGCAGGGGGCTGCAGACAAAGGGGCCATGGGGGGGGGGGATTCCCAGCCCAGCCCAGATCCACCCCCCTACTCCATAAATTCAGCCCATGTCCTCCCCCCCCACACTTCACGAGTGACATTCTAAATCAGGGATTTATCCTGCTGCTCTAGGGACATCTGATAAATGCCCCCCCCTCATTCCTGACCCTCAACTCTGTATTGTCCACCCAGCACCTAACCAGCCCCCTCTGTTTCCACCGTCTGTCTCCCAGAGGCCCTGGGCATCAGGCTCATGGGTGAAGTCCAGCCATTTTGTGAAGAGGCTGGATGTAAAAATGGTAAATTTCCTAACTAAGCTCCCCCTCTCCGCCCCCCACCCAGAACAACAACACTGTAAAACTCTGGGGGGACCCGAGGGTTTGTTTTCTTCAGGTCTTTTGGCTTCAGCCTAGCAGCAGAGAAAGAGAAAGGCTGGTGAAGGAAGAGGGAAGGATAGCCTAGCAGCCAGGGCCTCTAGCCTCCGACTGAGGAGAGGGGGGTTCACTTCCTTGATCCACCACAGCCTCCCTGAGTGACCTTGGACACAAGGCTCTCTGTGCCTCAGTTTCCCCATTTGTACAATGGGCATAGCTGCCTTGCCTCACAGGGATGCTGTGAAGATCCTTCCGTTAAAGTTTGTGGGGTGCTCAGGTGCTTGAAGTGAGGTGGTTGTTACATGGACTGTCCAGAAGGGGGCAGCACCCACAAGCCAGGCCAGAATTTCCATTTAGAGACCTCAGTGAATTGGGTGCTGAGGTCCCAGGTGTGGATGCTGGGCGTTGGAAAACCTAGCCCTCAATGGCCTTGGCCCCTGGACTTTCTGCCCCATCAAATCCTCCAATGGCGCTAGTCAGGTTTTCATCCTACTATCCCACGCCCATCCCCACGGTATCTGGGCACCTTACTATAAGGGTGCGTGTGGGCACCCCATTAAGTACACATGGAACGGTTGTGCCGGATCAGGACTGAAACGACCTGCATGCATCACCCATGTGTTAGCTGCACTTTCCCCTTGTTCAGACAATCCAGCCATGCAGGTCCCACAGCCGAACCGGCAGCCATCGGGGTTTTAACTGCTGTGTCAGCTAGACCTGCTTTGAGCTAGGCCGTAAGGGGGAAGGTTGGCAATCTGACAGTCTAACCACTAAATCATGCTCCTCTCCCAGAGTGAGGAATGGAACCCAGGAGTCCTGGATCCCAGCCACCCCCTCCTACCCATTCCAATCCACTAAACCCCACTCCCCTCCCATAGCTGGGAACCCAGGAGCCCTGGGAGTTAAAATGCCAGCCATAAACGTCTGACAGCGTGGAAAAAAAAATTTCCAAGGGGGCCTTTCAAAATAAAAACCAAATTATTGTCTTTGAGCTACGAAGGTCAGCTAAGGGTCTAGGCCCCCAACTGGTGTAAATGGGTGTCACGCTCTTGGAGTCACTGGGCCAGATCCCCAGCTGGCTCAGCAACACTGGGATGAACAGAACCAGATCCTCAGCCGGTTCAAGTCAGCATCACTCCACTGGCACAAACAGCGCTGAACGGATTTGCACCAGCTGAGCTCCTGGTCCAAAGATTTTTAATCCGGAAAAAGACTTTAAAATCACCCCCTAGGAAGTGCCAGATCCCAGCAATGCCCCATATTACCCAGCACCCTGCCTCCCCGTGGCTAGTTCCAGATATTTTGGGGGCAGGTGCGAGGCACTGCGGATAGGACCGTGACCAACTAACCCACCTACGAGGGAAGTTATCCCAACCTCCATCCTTTTGCAGTGGGCTTATACCCCGAGGCAGGCAGATTTATATCCCATGTAAATTTTTATCCCGGCACGTGTAGCCGCAACCGTTCTTATTATTCCTATAAATGGCTAATCCTTTTTGGAATCCTGCTAAGCTCTGTAATATCTGGTGCTGGCGCATTTCAAATATCTAAATCCACACACACACAAATGGGTTTGAAAAACCAATCCCGATCCAACTGCCAGCAGCCACGATCAGCCTCTGGTAAAGGATGGAGCTGAAAGATACATCCTGGGACACAACGGCAAGGAGCACTGGACCTGTGATTTGAATGGGTGTGTTATCGGCAGCCCAAACAGCGATGTCAATTATTAAGGTTGTCTGACAGTCTCCATTATAAGAGCCTGTTTTCGGTTACTTATAACTTTAGCTATTCAGGTTGAAATTTTCCCTGCTGGGTGTCAGCCTCCACCTGAATTTTTCTGGAAAGTTTCAGGTAAAACAGGTCAGCTGTTTTTGAGAACAAAGTTAGGGGGAAATATAGCGCTTTGCCCATGCTTCCAAAAAAATATTTTTTTTTTCTTCCAACCATTCGGTTGAGAAGCTCTAGCGCCCCCATGCTTTGGGGCAGGGACTTGAAATCTGGCAGAGGGGCCAGGGATGTGCCTTCTGCTGTCTCCCTGAGAATCTGTCCTGTGTCCCAACCAGACTGCCCATGCACCACCCCAACAGAGCAATTGAACATGCTCCAGCTCAGGGCTGCAGGGGCTGAGTAGGACTCCTGGAAATTGCTCCTTGGGGAAGGGGGAAAGGGGGAGGGCGATGCAGCACAAAGAGCAAGGAGATTCTCTCCTGCACTCTGAGTGCTCCCCCTGTTGGCACCATGCAGCATGCAAGAGGAGACAGCTGCCAGGCTGGAATGCAAAAGGGTGAGGAGGCTGGATGGGGGAACAGAAGAGATGCAGGTAGGGAGAGGGAGAGAGAAGCGGAGTGGGATAGGAGGAGGACCAGTCATGAGGGATTTTGGTGTCAGCAAATAGCTGTGAAACCCACAGTCAACATGTGTCTCTCATCCCCCTCTAGTGGCAGATCCACATAGAAGATAACAGCTTACTACTGCTACCAGGACTGCGCTTTGAATCAAATGACCCCAATCCTGATGACACCCCGCATGTGTGAAAGGGTCAATATGGCTCCACAGGATGAAATCCTCGCCCCTCCCAATTTTTAAAATCATAGGAAATTACATTTTTAAAAACCCCTGTATTAAGAGACCTGGTGTGTATTTAAATCTAGCCTACTTTCCTCCTGGCTTCGCGGCTAAGATTAGTTGCAGCGCAATATCAGGCAACCTGCTTCCGGGAAATGAATCTGATCTGGTTAGAGATTGCAGAGATCCTATTAATGCGGTGGGTTTCCTGTCTGCATTTCACCTCGCTCAGGAACCCTGAAACATAGCTGGGTTGTTTTCACTCTGATTCTAATCGGTTCCACTTCTTGCCTCT